TACGAGTTATCGAACAGTTGAGAGCAGTCGGTAAAAGTGCAGCTGAAGAATGTGTTCAACGTGCATGTAAGATTGCAGCATCCGTAGCCTGACCCATGTCCTGCAGAAAGTTTGTATCTGCACAAGATCTGTCAAATTTCTTGATCTCAAATAGTGTTCAATAATTCTCGTCAAGATCTTGCCAAGTTTTGTTGAGAAATCTGTCTGCAAAAACCTTGATCAAGATCTTAACAAGATTTTAAACTTTTCTGTAATTAACAAAATCTTTGCTAACAAAGAAAGTTAGCAATCATTCTGATTACGACATGCCTCAAAGATTCGACAAAAATATAAGTATGCCAACTTTGCATTTATTTATAGTTATTGTAGCACTGCAGTGTAGAGGAAGAAGGGAAATCTGCAGCATTACCTTCCATTCAGAATCTTGACAGATTTCGATAAATCTGCACAAGTTCTTGAAAAATCTGAGGCAAAACTTGAGAAATCTTTAAAGATTTATCAAGATCTGCATTCAAGATTTTTCTCCTAGGCTTTTTATCCGGTCGAACAAAAACCCGAAACATTTTACAGTGTATATTGCGCTTGAAAAATTTGAATGTGTATGTGTCGTTGTCTCTCAGTGAAGCATCCTTGCATGATAATGGATGAACTGCAAATATTTCGTTCAGCTTTTTGAATTTTCTGTTAGTCGTTGAAGCAAATTTTGAACACTTAGCACCATTTTTTAAACAAACTACACTTAATAGTAGTAAACCGCTCGATGTTAAACGAATTTTTGAGGATGTGTGCAGATACGTTTTTTTGGAACTGAACTATTTTGTGGATTGTGAAGAGTTAAAAAGACACGTACGCGTTTGTTCGTGATAGTTAGAACAGTGAAAAGAAGAAGCAGATATACTGCAGTGGTATTAAGTCTGCTTCAGAAACAGAATTTTTAGATTTAGTTTAAAATGCATTCATCCGCTGGATGAAGTTCAACAAACCACGTTCGGTAATCGAAATAAAACTCTATGTGACTTCCCGGTTTTTTCAGATTCAGATGGAAATAAACGTCTACTGGTGCGTTACGATGAGTTTCGAAAGGATTACGGCATTGTACGTTTCAAATAGAAAATGTCTCGAAACTCAATAGAAAAAATGAATTTGGTTTCGACTGTAACTGTATCGTTTTTTGTCGAGAGCACTTGAAACGTTTTGGAATTATGAGCAAACTACGTGTGGTCATCTAGACACAGATGAACTATTTGAAATAATAGAGAACTATTTGACAGAAAGTTAGATAAGGCATCATATTGCGCTAATTCGAGAGTTCATAAAAGGAGATATTCTCGAAAAATTTTCAGTTGTGCAAAAACAGTTTTCGGTGTTGGAAGTCACAAAATTTCATACCTTTCTGTTACCAGTTGATGATAGAATCAATCGGAGAACGGTTAGTTCTTTCTGATGAACGATTATTTGGCAATCCAACCACAGAAGTAAAACGAAAACTTGATGCTTCTGTATTCTTCACTGATGAATCATCAGACATTCAAATGGACCGGCGATGGTTTGAACAGCAGGAAAAAAAAATTGAGATTTATACAGCTGAAGAATATAATCGATTGATGTTTGTGTTTGACGATTCTTTGATGAGCTGGTTTTGAATATCGGTAATTAGAAATCGAAGCGCGAAGAGAATGTCGATGTTCTGAACTCGAAGCGCTTTGTTCAACACCTTGTAGAGAAAACAGTCTCGAGTATACCAACGTAGAGCATCAGACGGTTTGTATGTTTGTAATCATTGACATATTACGTAATCAGTTTGAGCTCCTCGCCAGTCATCTGTCATCAACTCTCCGAAGAGTGTTTTCCACTCCAAGCAATGCTTTTCGCGAGATAAGAGTACTTTTCTTTTCGTACAAGTTCCAACCAGTTTGTTCATACAAAAAAGGAGACGATTAGATAATGATTAGAAGAAACGTTGATGAGCGAAGCCTCTTTCAAGTGCATTAGAAGTGATTCACTACTTCTCGATACTTGGACGGTAATGGGTGCCGATGAAAGTGTTAGATAGAAATAAAGGTGGTGTCAATCAGTCGCTTTTGTTTGCCTTCCTTTTGAACGACAGTATCATCTTCTGGCAATTTATGAGTTTCGTATTACCACTTTCATTCTCAAAGAGAGTCGAAAGTTTTACAGATGTCAATGATTTGTTCTGAGATAAATGCCAATGGGCTTTACATTTATTTAATTAGATAACAAATCGAGATCGAATTCATGGCATGTTGCGCACACTTTCAACACTAGAGAGAGAAGCTTGAGCAGTTTCCTTTCATTTCCAGTTTCTACAGATGCAAGGGACTGATAAACGATCATCCATAAGATGGTGGTTTGTTATTACTATTCATGTTACCATCGACAAACTTCAGTCAAGAGATAAAAGAAATGCTGCTCTACTCCCTACTAGAGGCGAGCATGTAATATATGCATGATCACTTCGATGAAATTCACGAATAATCTTAAGATCTGCATCATTGCCTCGATAGTGTTCATGGCAGATTTAAACAAGTTCATCTTTCGATGCTTGTGAGTATTTCATTCGGAGTAGAACTTCGATAAACAGCTGAAACCACATGAATGAGCTGTTGTCTGATTTGAGATTTGTGTGTGTTCTATCGTAGATGAAACATATTTGAAACATGTTATTGACTGAATGGTACCGCAGCACACCGTGGAGAATACCATATCTGACGAGCACCATTCTATCGTTTTCGTTGAACTGTGATCCCGGAATAGTTCAACGAAACAATGTGATATCTTACTCATATAGAGATAAATTGCACAGAATGAATAAAAGGATTATTAGTATTCGAGCGCGAACGTGCGTTAAAAGTGGTACCAAGGTAAGGAATGGTGCTTAAAAACATGCATAAAAATTTTGTTTTTCTCAATTTACCTATTCCAGATTTTAGGATAAGTTAAAGTAGAGTTAATTATAAGATTTTTGATATGTACATGAGCCTGGCAAAAGTTCATACTTTTCAAATGCCAAATTTTAGCAGTTTAAACACCATTCCATATCTTGGTACCACTTTTAACGCACGTTCGCGCTCGAATACTAATAATCCTTTTATTCATTCTGTGCAATTTACCTCTATATGAGTAAGATATCACATTGTTTCGTTGAACTCGTAATGATACTACTATCTAAAAATAACGGATGCAGACTAAACCTTCATGGATTCTACCTTTTAGATAGAATCTTTTCATGGTTTAATCAAAGTGCGATAGAATTGGCAGTTCTATCAAAGGACTGATCCATCTTCAGTAAAAATGATTTGATATTCCAGAAAAAAAAGATCCATCGATTTAAAACGGTTCAGTGTCGAACCATCTTGTTTTAAGCAAACTATTAAATCCACGTCAGTTTTTTGTCCTGACATTACATGCGAAAGTATTTAAACGAAGACGCAGATTCTACATATAGATGATGTCAGTTCATATCTTTCTGTTTAGGACATGAGCCCAGTGGGTTTTATGACGAACACTTTACACTTCAAACGTATCGTATGTTTTGACGACAAGAAAAAATCCCGGTCTTGGATTTAGTTGCTTTAGTGATAGTTGTGGTTCTTGATAGTATTAAGAATAAATTTCACCATTTGACTTATGAAAATTATAATCTGTGACCATACTTAGCTGCCACATTTAGATTAACTGTATAAATAACTCTATTATCAAAAAACGTTTCACGCCTCAGGTTAACTGCCGGTACTTTTGATACCTCGGTTTGAATTCACCGCGCCAATTCACCGCGTTATTTCGAAGAACCGATGGTTAACCGTATCTTTTTCAATGACGGTGTGTGTCATTTTACTATTATTATACATCACATGTGTAGCTGCCGAATTCATCATAAAGGAAGGCGTTACGCTTGATTAGTTGGTGTACCTCTACTTTAGGGCCCCCCTTAGAAAAAAACTTTTTTGTCTTCCATCAGATTTTGATGAAACTTTCAGCAAATGTTTGCCTTACCAAACTGTGGGTATGAAATGTTTTTGTCTCGCTCTTTCTTACCGTTCCAGAGTTTTCCAGAGTCCAGGGTCAAAAACCCATCCTCCGCTGTGGAACACCTTTTTTAAATATACTTCAGGTAAGAGATCTCGTGTTGGTTTTATTTTAAAATAGACACTCAACTACGTGGACTGATGGGACCAAATTCTTGATTTATGCCTTCGTTCGTTTTCTAGAGATCCAAGAAACCCAAAAAACCTTTCGGATTTTGCAGAGATCCTTAATTTTCCAGAAAACTAAAGCCTAATTCAAAAATCGGCGTCCATCAGTCCACGCAGTTAGGCGCTTACTTTAAAATAAAACCCATCCAAGATCTCTACCTTGAAGTATATTTAAAAAAAGTGTTCTACACTAGGCATGTTCGAACAAAAAAGTGGTGTAAGTATTCAGAAAAAAATTATTATTTGACGACCCTGGTTTTAAGGGCTTCTAAAAAACTTCCTCGAAAACCAGGAAAAAACAGTTATAGGTCCGAAAGTGATACAAATTTTGAAACTAGGTACTACAGGCTATCTTTCCATGTGCTTGTCTTCAAATTGATTTCTATACAGAATCATCATTTCTGAGGGGGAGGGGATCTTAAGTCAAATGCAAGTGTCTGGCGCTTTGCGATACTCATAAACATCGGGAAAAAAAGAAAAAGAAAGCGTCTCTGAAGCTCCTATATATCTTACCAAATAATCACAACGACTAGAATTTGTTTTATGAACTGTTCTGTGATAGCTGCATCATTTGGCACCTTTAATCCAAGCCACCATTCCATTTCTCTTCATCGGCCAGTCACTCTGATCAATCTGGACCAATAAGTCTTTTACTGTATGCACTCAACGGATCGATTTCTTCATTATAACTGGGAAATTCTATTATCAAATTTCATTTGATTATTAAACAAACACATTCAGATGAGGCCATTCAATCGCGTTTAAATGTACACTCGGACAAACGCTTCAATTTCTCGCCGACAGATTGGACAAGTGAGAAGACCATCTGTGTGGTCCTGGATTGTGACCACAAGGAACGCATGTTGACAAATGTCCGCACGGTATACATGCCAATCTCTTTTCACTTTCCAAACAGAGAACACACGGATTCACTACAGCTGATGGACCTTTTTCGTTTTCTTTGCCCTTTCGTTTTTTATCAATAGTTTTCACAGAATCGGCATTTGATTCCACTGATGATGTTGAAGCGTCTGGTGTGCATGATTCATTTGTCAATGAAGTCATATCGGCATCTCCGGTCGATGAAGACAAAGTCGTTGAAGGTGATGATAATGTATCACAAACGTCATAGTCTCTATGTTAACCAGAAAAATATAAAACAACATGAGATTACTGGTTTGCTTTAATAAAACCAGCATTAATCAGATATTATCATTTTTGATAATTTTGTTTCTCAAGTCAAAAATCAAAACAACTTATTATTTGGATAGTTAACTATCTAGTTTTACAAAAGTGCCTTATCCGCTTCCCTCCTGTCGCTTTCTTAGACAATGTTCATTTTCTTAAAGATTATAAACTCATTTATCATTTTCTAACATGTTTAAAATACTCGGGTATATTATCAGTCAGAAGTCAGAAGAGAATAGATTCTCAAACGTCATAAAAATAGTCAAATAAACATTTTCTTCCATTTTCTTATGGTACAGACAGAATATCCATAGGTATAAAATGGAGAATCTTCATCGATATGCTGATGGTATTCTGTCAGAATACAAGCAGAAGAATATTCCAGCATAGTATTCTAAACTAAAACTATCGAAAAACACAAATCAATTTTTGTACGAATAGAGATTCGAACATGTGAACTTAGCTTCGTAGTAAACTACAAAACTAAATTCACTCAATAATTTGTAAATCAATTCAATAATTTCAGCATATAGATAGTTCGATCTCCTTGATCGATTGGTGCCACTCTTATCATTAGAGCACGCTTCTTTAATGAACGGTGAATTTTTTAAAAGAACTCTTAAATTTCAGTGAGCTTTTAAAAGTTAAAAAACCTGGGAAGAACGTGTCTAGGAGCTTCAAATGTCTCACCATATATGTAAGTCGACATGGGAAACAGATTGTTGTAAAAAACCATGGGGAATCCGCCCCTCCTTAACGAGGAAAAGAAAGGAGAGAGAATGATATTGATCTATATCTCTACGCGTAGAAAATAATGTCTACGCATAGATTTTTCGACTCATCGAATATAGTCTACGTCTACGTTCTACGTATTTCATTATTGACGGCTTCCCTTACTTTCAATGTAATCGCTTATCTCCTTTGTATTTCAGATGTAAGTTTTCTCTATAATTAATTTTCAATTTGCCACGGAAGAAGAAATAGCGGATACTTCGAAACATTTTAAATATACGAAGTAAAAGTAATTCTAATATCTTGTTTCTTTGAAAATACATAGTGAATAAGTGATTTATTTAAGAAATATGTCGTTAGAAACATCAACATTCATTCGTAATTAATTTTTTCATTTCAGTCATCTTCATACCCATTTCTATCCACTATTTTAAAGCAACAATTAACACGTTCAAATAAGAAATACTGTTGTTCTGAACCATTATATTCGCGAACTCTATTCATTATCATAACTATATTCAATGTTTTTAAGTTACTTATACGTATTGCAATAGATTTCCATTCATTTAAATCAAAATAGATATTTATACTTGAAATCAATGTTAAATGTTCTAAATTCGGTAAATATTCTAATAAATATTTTATTTGTTTAAAACTCATATTACCATTAACAATATTTAATTTAAGTCTAATTAGTGTTAGCACATTTGTTGTTAGTGTTAGAAATGTTTGATCATGACATGGATATATATTTACACATAATGTATTCAATTTTAATAAATTTTGTATTAATAAAGAAAATGTTTGTTTAGTACACCAACGAATTTTTAGATATTCAATTGATGATGAATATAGGCATGTTGTTAATGAATCTATTACTTGATAAGTAAGATCAGATAAATAACATTTATTTAATAATTTAAATGCATTTTTAATAAATATTCGATTACATAATTGATGATAAGCATTTGACTGATATGATATAAACGGTATTGATAATGATTTTAAACATGGAAATGTTAAGGGTTGAATTTGACTTAATTGTTTTATTGATGGATTGTAAATATTTAATCTTGATAAATTTGAAAATTGATCGATATTCAATGATGTTAAACTTGGACATTTTTGATGTTTAGGTATTTTTAATGATACAAATTGATATCTCTTTGGTTGTATAAAATGTTTGTAAAGATGTTGAATATGTTTTTCATCACGTACTGTACTTAAATCTAACTTTAAAGGAACATCATTCAAAATACAATTAATTCGATGATTAAGATTGTCAAATGCACGATATAAATCGAAAGTATCAACATATTGAAATATTTCCAATAATAATTCATTAGGAAATATTAAATCCAATGAACAATGATTATCACTCATCTAGAAAAAATAATTGTTATTATTTTCTGAGATTTGTATATCACCGTCTCGGATACTACAGTAGTGTACAATATGCCTATCCAAGTAAAACAAACAGTTACTATTAAGACCTAAGTATACCTGCTGTCAATCAAGTACGTTTGAAGGTCAGTCTAATGAGCGTGAAATGTTTTATTCTATTGATTAGCTGACTCTTTTGTTCAAGCTCATCGCTCTAACAGCGATCAGGTGGTCGACAGATCAGTCTGATCAGCTTTTACGTCTTATTTAAAACGTAAGTGTGCGGAGAAAGGGAAGCATCGAATTAAGAATCTGCAACGAAAAGGCTTATTCACATTAAAACTATCAACGCTGTATATCAGAGACCGAATCGGGTCTTAGGTGGATGACCCGAATCCGATCCGAAGTGCACCGACGAATTTAGAATTTTTCTAATGTACAAGCGGTAGACAAGGCAAGGATGGAATGCGTGCGGTCACCATAGAAACACACTTTTTTGAGGCAGTTCTACTGGACAAAAATCATTTTTTTCGGTTTCGGTCTCTGTTCTATATAGCTGAAGCATATATGATGAGTAAATTTTTTAGATTTTTACCGTTGCCATTGAATGGTTTTATAAACAGTTTTTCTCAGCAAAAGAAAGAGAAAAATGTTCAAAGAAAAACAAAAAGAAAAAGTCGTCCAACCGTATTACGCAGTAATTTAGTACAATAAATTTTTCGAAGATAAGAATATTTTTTTGATGAACGGGGAATACAGATGAAAAGAACTAAAAAAAGTTTGCTTTATCAGCTGTCGTTGTCATTGTAGAAAATCATCAGAGAAATAAAATAAGTAATATCAATCACATGAGTCATAGTCTAGTTCGACTGTTCTGTTATACGGCAAACAAATAACCATTCTTGTTTCTTTTTCTTTCCTTTACATTTAACACTACAGTTGTGAGTGAGGTCCCATTCTTCAAGATGTCAAATCGGCAAACATAATAGCGTTCTAGCGGAAACAGGAAAATCAACCTGGTGCACGTTTATATCTTATTGAAGCTATAAATAATAAAAATTGATCGAGATAAGAACCTACGGATGGTTATGAAGTAAGTCTGTGAAAAGTTGTTTGCTTACTGTTGGGCTACATTTCTGATTTTATATGCAAAAAAATGTTCGGTCAAATTGGTTATTATTAACCACTTCCATGTGCTATATTCGATAAATGAATGTGATGTTTTTAACTTATGATGAAGTACAATCGTGTCTTTTCTTTCGTTTTGTATGTGCTCACACGTAGAGTGTTGAGTAAATAACTACAGTCTTTTTCTTCAAGGTAGAAGAATACAAGAATCGATTCTCGTAAAATGAATACATTTAAAGTGAGTGCAAACAGAAGTAAGAGATATAGATATAGATAAGATATATTTTTGCTCAACTGCTGCGTGCAATTATAAGCTTGAGAATATCAGGTTATGGGATAGCCAGCAGCCCAATATTGAATCATAAAATATTAAAAAAGTGATAGTAGCATCCTCTTCCAACAAAAACGGACACTTTTTTTTGTAAAAGATATTTTGTAAGAGAATGAAGATTGCTATATTTTTTCAACAACGCCCACTTAAATGGATATAGTCAGATGGTCTGATCTCTATAAAAGCGTTAATTAACAAAGGGTAGGCTCGAATCCACCTTTATAATCTTTTCCAGTCCTGTATAACTAACCGATAAAAGTTGTTTTAATAAGAATGGTATATTTTTCGTAAAATCGAAAAACGTTTTGTATTGAAATGCTTCACGATTATGCAATTATGGTACGTGGCCACACGACGATGACTCATACAATCAAAAGCCAGTTGGGTATTCATCAGTGCACCTGAAGTTAAGAAAAGAGACGGAACTTTTTCTAGTACATATTATAGCTGACATCAAGAACTTTTCGAATATATACTCAGAGTTCTCTTATCAGAAGCTGTTATTGAGATTAAGGAGCCATTTTCAGAACCTGTAGACCATTCCACCCTTTTTTTTTGGCTCGATGATAATTGGTCAGTGGACTGATGTCATGGACTGCGTTACTTTCTTGATTTTGTGTTCCAATGCACTTTCCTTCACTATAGTAAACATATGGCGTCAGGGCATCATCCGGAAATCGCCGTCGCCGAGGATTCGTATATGTTAAAGTGCTAAAGCGGAAATGTGCACAATTGAGGGTGAAGAAGCGAGGAGGAGGCTGGAGAACCTTTACTCACTTCTCCACCCTCACCCTCACTCGCCGCAGATTCGTATATGTTAAAGCGTAAGTGCTAAAGTGTTAAAACTTTAACACTGAATCCGCGACGACAGCGATTTCCGGATGTCATGCCAAAATCCATATTTACTATTCTGTGCGGACCACTGACCAAACATGAAGATCTAAAATTGTGACAGAAATCTGCTTATTAACAGAGTATTTCAATAACTCTAAGAATTTTTACACTGTTGCTATGACAAACAGTTTTTGGGAAAACACTGATGTCTGTGTAACGGCTTCTGACAAGAGAACTCTGAATATATATTCTAAAAGGTCTTGATATCAGCTATAATATATACTAGATAAAGTTCCGCAAAAATCAGTCTCTATTTTTAGGTGCAGTGGCTGCTCTCCCACTGCTTCGTCAAGACACCATGTACCATAATACAAGTTTGACATTACTTCCCTTCAAAGTTAGTGTCCGTGACTGTAGTCTAGAGTCTTATAAAATGAGGGTGAGGGTGAGGGTGAGAAGAAGGACAAAGTGGTCCTCGTTTTTATTTGGTGTTTTTTGTGTTTGGTTTTATCTGCATGCGTTGTACTGCGTATTATTCAAGAATAAAATAAACTTTGAAGAAAAGTTTTGGTCACATGGGGATCTTTGGAGGGTCTCTAGAAAACCTTTTAAATTTTCATTATATCAAGAACATTACACATGAACTACGCGAAAAACTCGTAACATATTTTAGATAGCCCCGTACGAACACCGACTTGGTCGACCATGTTGACATACGATGTGAGAAAATTGTTTTCTCCCAAATGAACTATAGTTGGGCTTTTCTCTTCGAAGATTTTGTACAGCAACAAATAAACTTCAATTGAACCTTAAAAAGAACTTTTGGAAAGACTGAAATGCATCAGAAGAAAAGTTTGTCAAAAAATTTCGAATACTAATACTTCTATGGTTAAAGTGATGACTTTGAATACGATATCCACACTATCTGTTAAAATCGCAACAATAAAATCCCCATGTTCATCTAAATGACGTTTGACCTAGAGGTTGCTATGTTTGTCACAGTTTCGCCATAACTTGCTGTAAGCAGACATGTGCGCCGATAAAAAAATTTCAGAGAAAATGAGTGAATTTATGAACATGGGCAGCGGCGGCGCAGGCGCAAGGTTCTGAAAATTTCCTCGGTCCTCGATGCCGTCGCGTGAAAAAACGTTATTGGCGGCGAATCTCCAACTTTGACTAAAACAACATCGCTTTCATTTCTGGCAAGTTCTTCGTGAACCAGCTATATTTGTACGTTGTCGTATGCGAAAAGATAGAAAATGCCTTAGGTAAGAATGTACCAAGAGAAAGAGTAAGAAAACCTTGCATCATACGATCCATGTAAAATCAAAGAAAATGACACACTCTGTGCTGCAAACACACAAAGAAACAATGTATTCGGTTCACGTTTCAATATGAAATACATAGAATATTCACTGCGCGATTATCACTCTGAAGGAAAAAAACGAATAACACGATTACACTTATATTCCAAACATTTCAGCGGCTGCAGCGTGAACTTAATAAATTTTCTCCGCCTTCGGTGACAACAAAAGTTTAAAAACATGGCGAGGACGAAAACCAAAATAGGCTTGTTTTATTCAAGAAACTTTGAGGAGAGACAATAACATTTATAAAAAAACGACGGTTTCTTCATGGATAAGACCACTTATTCTTCATGCTTACTAATTAGATTAACAAATTATACCATTTGAAATATGAAACAAGTCTCGCATTTCTTTTAGAAATACAATGTGGGTTCATGCTAGAAGAGACATTGGGGAGACCATGACCAAAAATTTTAGCATTATTTTTATTATTTTAGAATTATTACCAGTATACTACGGTGTTTATATACACGCACAATAACAAAACATAAAGGTGATTGAAAAAGAAACTTGGCATCGATGTGCACTGACGCCAGAAGAATCTAAAAATCTCGCACTCGTGCTCAGAAGAAAATTTATTCGGCGTGAGTGCGCACTCGTGCCAACAAAACATTTTTTGTGGGGAGAATTTGCTAACGCGTTACAATGATATAAAATCTGTGGTACGTCACAACGCATGGCTCTTTTAACGCTGAAAAACGCGCTTTTTTGCTTTTATGGATAACAGAAAAACTCATAAGTCATATCAAAACAGACCTGCTCAGATATCACATGTGCAACTACAAATAAAAAAATAGAAAGAAATCTATTACGGATCATATAGCCTTATGTAGCATAGAATCTATTTTAGTTGAGCAAATTCACCATGAGATTCTGAGTTACACGCAAGAGGGAAAAGACGACTTTTTTCTTCCATAGCATCGCTCAGCGTCGGATGCTTCGCATCTCAAGCTTCGGAAACTACTGCAAGGGCTCCGGAAAGCGTCCGGAGCCGCCTTTTCCCTTTGGTTACATGTAAAGTAAAATTGCAATTGTTTTGCAATTTTTCTAAGAAAAATGGGTAAAAAGTGTATGACTGTACCCAAGGATCCTAAAAAATCTAGTATCGCCCAATTTATCTAGATCACTAGATTTTTACTCGATTGCAACTATTTTGTAACGACAGAAGAAATCTAGTAATCGGGCGATTGCTCGATTTCTCCTAGTTGCAACTATCAATTTATCGACCGATAATCGATCGATTTAACTATTGCTAGTTACACATGCAGACGCATCTAGTTAAAAGTCCCTTTTCCAACTAGTAATCTAGATGACAACTAGTCGTGTATCCCCCGATTACA